ATTGAACTGTTATTGCTGTAATCCTACAAAGAAGACCTACAAATATTCTAACAAGAACATAATAAACAATTTCACATGCTTAGATAGCTATTCCTTACCCCTTTACTTTCAGCAGCCTCATTGATCCACACGGCCTTATCCTTATACATATGCAAGGTGTTCCAGTTGCTAATGTATGTAGAATTTTCACTCTTCTACATATTCCCAACCAAAACTAAAATGAGAAATACTTGCAGTTATAAATTTAAAAGAAAAAAGCAAGATTAAAATGAAAGGAAAATTATAACCTCTACAGCAGCTTCCATATGTTTTAGGAAGGGATGTGAACCCCTGTATGATCATATTTTTTCCTTTTCCTGTCTCAGCATTGGCTTTGCATCGTTTCTGTTTTAACAACATACATAAATTGTTCTAAATCAAAAACTTTAAACTGCACAAATATAAGATATCATAAAACTATATAACCTACAATTAATTAAAGATACCTGATATTTCTCATCCGTGTACAACTTATCGACCAAATAATGCCACTCTTCTAGAGTCCTTTGAGAACCAAAGACCTTTCCAGGGGGGGTGTGGCCCGTGCGACTTCAGGGTCAGAAGCATACTCCTTATAGTGCTTGTGGAGTTTTGCTCTCCAATCATTATAAGTGGAGTTCATATGGTCATCAATAAATTTCCACATAGCTGGATCCGTTAAGTCCACTTCAAACTTGAACTAATATCAATTAACCGTAAAAATAGTAAACATATTAACTCTTCTTATTCTAATCTAACTAGAAACAGAAAAGGAGATCATAATAATCCAACTCTACAATTTCACTATTGTATACACAACTTAGCCAGAAAGGAAACAAGTACATATATGTATTGCACCAGCTCTAACAATTCTTTTCTTATATGTCTATTAACATTAAAGGCTTGGTTTACTTTTTCGTCATAAAGCAAAAAGTAAAAAAAACCAAAATTGAGAGATTATGTTCCAGACCAAATGTACAAAGCAGTATTAAATAACTCACCTGCAATGCAATTGCCATATCCCGCTTCGTCTCCAAAGTCACTTTTTTCCACCCAAGAACATTCAATGGAGCTTTGTTGCGAGTGATTAACCCAATCTCAGACACGAACAAATATTGAGCCTCAACACTCGCTACCAAGTTCTGTGATGGATCCAATCGTATTGGAATCAACTTCTTGGACTTTTTAACAACATCACAAGTGCCAGCCCCCACAGTTATGCCACGAGTTTTCTTCGCATGTGAAGAAGTTCCATCATCTAGAAGACCAAAATAAATAAATAAAATTAAAAAACTGAAGTGCACCGCCAAAGAAGGAAAAAAAATGTAGTTACCAGATTGCCGTGAACCTCTAGCTGAAGCTGACAATGGAAATTGTTGTGCCTGTGGGGTTGAAGTTTTCTTTGCATGAGAAGAAATTCCATCGTCCACAAGACCAGAACTAAATAAATAAGAAACATAAGTGCACAAAATAAGCCAAACAAAGAAATAATGCAGTTACCTTGTTGTCGTGAACCCCCTGCTGAGGCAAATAATGGAAATCGTTGTGTCAGAGTTGATTCTTGTGATAGCTCACGTGGCTGTGGTGGTTGTTGAGTTGAAGTTTTCTTCACACGTGAAGAAGTTACATCATCTAGAAGACAAAAAATAAATAAATAAGGAACTGAAGTGTGCAGAAAAAAGCCAAAGAATGAAATAAAATGCAATTACCCTGTTGCCGTGAACCCTCTGTTGAGGCTGAAAATGCAGTTTGCTTCCTCTTATTGTTAGTGTTGCCTAAACTAACAGCTTTCTTACTCAACATCTGGCACATTTACACACACATAAATAGAGAAACATACTACATTCAAATAACATTCTATTTTTCCTAAAGTCATAAATAAATAAGAAATAAATTGTACCTTATCATTTATAAGTTAAAGCACTACACACTACCTTATCAATCTAAATCACTATAATCATCACTATGAACACTATCTTCCTCATCACTAGAAGGTATTTCTTCAATATCATCATCATCATTAGAACCCAAAAAGAAGATGACCCATTTCATACTTTTTATGATGTCAGTTTGCACAGCCACTTGCTCTCCAATTAAAATAGCAGAAATTAAATTAAGCACTCTTTGAAATATAAGGGTGGAGAGGGTTACCTTAAGAGTGCAGGCATGAGAGGGTTTTCGGAAAGAAGAGGGAGAAACGAAACCCAGATTTCTGCAAAAATTAAATTAAGCATTGTTTGAAAATATAAGTGACAGAGAGAGAAAGAGAGAGAGGGGGTTACCTTGAAAGCGTTTGGGAACGAAGCACCATCAGTTTTCAGATTGAATTTTCAGGCTAAAATCTTGAAAAAATAGTAGTGCGAGAGAGACAGGGAGCCTTAAGAGTGAGAGGGTTTGGGAATGAAGATGGTTTCTAGATGGGAGAGAACGTTAGAGGTTTTTGTTTGAGAGGGCAAGAATATTGGGGGTCAGAGACTGTGAAAGAAAGATTTGGGGTAGAGAGAGAGAGAGAGAGAGAGAGCATTTGGGGTTAGGAAGAAGAGAGGGATCTGGAAATTAAAAGATTGCAGAAAGAAAATTTGGTGGAAAAAAAAAGGGCTCATGCGAAAATGAGAATAACAAGTGGGGGAGGGCCACCAAAAATTGAAAGGACAAAATACTTGGCGACCAAAATTATAGTAATTAGCGACCACGTTTTTTGTCACATGATTTCCGCGCCCACTCTTTCATCTCCCGCCTTGTGCTTAGCGACCAACAATACAAAGTCGTCGTAGGTTCTAACGTTGCGACCAAAAACTTTGGTCGCCAATTCTTACTTATTTCGTAGGTAATTGTCCATTGTT